AAAAATAAATTATATTAGTCTAGCAATATAAAAGAATGAAAAATTTAAAAGATAAAAATATAGATAATTATTATAAAAAAATTATTAAGAATATTCTGTTTTTCACGCCTTTAACTTTATCCCATTCCTTAATAACAACAAAATTTGAAGACTCTTTATGTAAATTTATAATCAAAAAACGATGAATTAGAGTAGATTTATGGCTTATCGAAGCAAATATATAAAAGCTCGGGACTGGAAGTAGATCGTCTAGTTGTCGATTCCTATTTGCAAGACATGCAAAATCCCCTTGAAATCGCAAAGAAGATCTTTCCATAATAAGTAATGCATGCATGAAGCATATACCTATATCCATGGTATTAGTATAAATATATGTATATATATCTAGACTTTATATCTCACATTTCAATATTCCATTTTAGTCCAGCCAGACGATTTGACGTAAAATATTGATTCTCATCGTCTTTATCATTCGATTCTTTATTTTTTATATTTCATATTTGATGTCTATATACATATATATGTACGTATGTGTGTGAGTGTATGAAAGAAGAGCTGCGGTTGCATTATTCATAGAGACATATCAAGCAAGCAATAAAACGATGAAAGTTGACGTCGACAGCAAAAGGACGTTTACTGGTTGGTCCAAATTCATATGCCAATCTCTCTCTTTTTCTACATCACGTCGATTGACGACTTTTTAACATCCGATATTGTAGAAAAATGCAATATATATACTAACGACCTCATAGTCGTTTTTAGTATCACATAATTGCCAATTTAAAATTGAAGAATCGCGCATATAATCAACGTAAGTGCCATTACACCCGTACTTGGTGTGGACACAACCGTGTCTGGTTTTTAACTATAAATTAAATTTCTGCCTGAAGAACAGGAGATGCAAGGAAATGTATAGGATACTTTTCTGTAGGAAATTAAATTTACTGTTAGAAAGATCTCTTATAATTTTTTTGTAGCTTAAATAATTCGCTAATTATTTAAATTTAACACTTGACCAAGATAAAGTTTATTTGATTACTGAAAAAAAAATTACAATTGAATTGTAAATATAATTGATTTTTTTTTAATTTACTTGTAATTACATTAGTATTGAAATTATTAGTAATAAATTGTTGTGTATATTAACGTTACTTCGATCAATTTTACGTACGATGCTAATGCTTAAGGCATGCACATTTTAATTTATAAAATTTTTGGATTTTACGGTTACTAAAAACTTAGGAGTACTTTCCAGAGCATTTTTATCGATTTCTTTATGTATATTTAAACTTAAAATAACACAACTGCAATATGTGCAAGGTATGTACATATATGCATCCAATGCATTGACCCTGTAGTTTGTCCGCGGATCTGTTTCTCGCAGCATTGATTCGCACATAAATAGTGTACGGAACTCATGTAATGGAATTTCGCGCGATCGACGCGTAGTTGGCGCCAACTTCTGGGTGATTCGTTTCATTGAATTCCAATAAATACCGCGGTAACGCAATAATTCCCGTAGAATACAAGAGATGAATAAATTCTTTTATAGTTCTCAACACACACATCCTACCCTCCCACACTTTGTTATTTGCGTGACGATTTTAACGGCCACTCGGTTGTATTGAATTTCCCAGTGACACTAGATCCAATGTTCAATTTTTCCGAGAGTCCAAAGGCGTGTTTTATATTCTACCTCTACATCTACCTCATGCATCGCCGCCAATTCGAGAAATTGTAAATTTTCGTACTTTGTGTGCTTGACCCAAGCTATTTACCAGTTTGACACTTTTTACTTAGTTATGGCAAGCTTGATTCAAGATATTGAATTTTAATTCTTTAATATGCATTAGAGTTGACAGTTTTTAAATGATAATTTTAAATTATCATTAGATTAATTATTTATGTATGTACATGTGCCAGCTGATCAGAGTAATATAAAATTAAAAGGTTAAAATGACCATTTTTTATGTATTAAAAATAACACTTTAGAGTGTAGAATTCGAGGAGTCGGTCTTAGAGAATTTTAACATAGATTTGTGTTACGTTATCATTACACATGATATTTTTTTTTTTATTTATTACTACAAACTTTTGTGTTAAATTTAACGAAAATTTCTTTACTGTGTAATATTTTCAGAGAAAAAATTATTATGTCAATTTTAAGAACTGACTATTTAAAAATGTAAAATTTTTAAGAAAATATTTGTTTTAAATCAAGTTTTTTTCTTTCCGCGAAAGCGGTTATAGTAACATCACTAAATAAATAATTGAAACGGCCGAACACAGAATTACTCATTTTTACAGTCAATAATCAACAATGATTAATAGTAATAATTATCATAATAGGTTTAGTAAACCACCGGTAATAAATATACATATAGATGATTACTAAACAGAATATATATATATATATATATATATATATATATATATATATATATATATATAGATCAAACTGAGTAGAGTAAAGCAGAATAGAATAGAATAGACGTTGGAAATGGTTTATGGATGTAGTGGTCTCGTGACACCGGGTGTCGCGTATATTGATTTCAATGCCGCGCATTGCCGATGAGTTCACCACTCACTTTGGAAGCTCAACTCCAATACAATCATCTATTTAACTCTCTTTTACTCTCTTCTCCCTCTCTACCTCTTTCTCTCCCTCTGCCTCTACCTCTTGATTATTCCATCATGCTGGCACATAACATCTATCCATCTATCTATTTATCTCTCTCGCCCCCGTCAACTGTAACATCGATGCACTGTAATTTGTTCATAATTGAACGTAAACACACCGATAATTGGCAACAAAGAGGTCACAGGTACATGCATATTCATGGGTCGTATAAGCACTTATGCATATTCTGTGTGTATCAATATGCATGCGAAAAATTTTGACAATCACTAAATTTAAGTGTCCAAAAAAAATTTTATAATTTTTCACTTTACTTTTTTCTGAATTGTTTTTAAATTAAATACGCGGATTTAATTATCTAAACAGCAAAAGCGAGTAAGTGAAAACTCATTTATATTGTTATTATGTCTATTTTGAAATTTAATTGTTTTATGAGTTTGTCAAAGTAATAAAACTTGTCTAAAGCACTTATAAGTCAACATGAAGCATGGAATAGAAAGGAGAGCTCGAATGTTTTGATGATTATGAAAATACCATTGAAAATTTAAACTACTGATGACATTCCTGTGAAATGCAGACGTCGTTTAACGATTAAATACGTGTATATATTTGTCGATTGCTGTGCATGGAGAATCCCTACATATGTGTGTACAGACGTCGGTATGTACATATATGTCATAAAGTTCTATGCGGATTTAATGGAAATATTACTGGAGAATCAACGACGCAAGCCCGTTTCAATTTTCAGGTATGCTTTGAAGGTACAAATTGTCAAGTTATATTGCTTGCGCTAGTTATTACAGAAATTGATAGTGCTATATTTTATTTCTGGGTTAGGGACTAGAGTATTACATCTAGATTTGTTGATGATTATGAGTTTTGGTTTATGTGGTTGTGTTGTAATGATTAGATAACTCAAAATGCGGAATTTTATTCTCCAGTGTTAATTTAATTTTTCGTAAAAATGAATCTTACAGAGATAGATGTTTTTTTAAATTACCATGAAAGACAATCCAGTTAAAAATTATTTTCTTCGATTGAGAATATTTTTTTTTTTAATCAAGTTGTTTTTTGCAGTGCAGTGAACAATTAAGTAAAAATGAATAAGTAAATTTACGTTGGTAAAATTTTGATAAAAAATGAAACATGAAAAATAATTTTAACTGTGGTTTAAGTTTTTTTAAATTCAAATTTTTACCATTACTCAAAAAGGCGTATAACAAATCTTAATGCATAATTTCACAAAAAAAAATTATGTATTAATTGATGGTAGATAATAATAATAAGTAAAATATACTGCAGAGCAGTGATCGGATAACTTTAGCTGAAAATAATGCCTTATATTTAAGAGAAACGCTCTGAATATAAGGTATCAGTAATTCACAAACAAGTATTAACATCCCGTTCATTAATCGATCCATTAAAACTCAATCTAAATTTCAATTTAGATAGAATTGATTGCCGGATTTCTAGAGATCTGCATTCACTCTAACTATTTATATAAATTTAAATACTTTTTATTTTATTTTATCCATTTACGTCTCCTTTTGTATTGTGTATACCGAGACGGGTATTTTCCCACGAGTCTTCGTTCAAAATAATGGAGAAATTGATCGGTTGGGGACACGGAAGAACAAACAACTCGTCAAAGTCCCAATGTTTTTATTACCTCATTTTTTTCCCGTTTCTCGTAGAAATGGAAAAATCTCCGAGATCCTCGATGCACTGGTCCTCCGAAAGAGAAGCCCGAAAGTTACCAATCGAGATTACAGCTCAACCAGAAGAAGGTATATTGAAAGAACTTTTTTTCACCTCAAATCCTTCTATTTCAGTTTTTAGATACTCGTTTGTCCGAGTTTTTTGTTTATTATATCAATTTTTTATCGCTTCGCAATGTTAGAAGGAAAAAAAAAAGCGAGTTTTCAACCATTTTTTATCATGAGACTTTTTAATTGATAAGTATAAAACTGGATATACATATAGTATAGTCACTTTGATATTTAAAAAAGGCGTATCTCAAATTATACACCATTCTTGCTCTGCCGAGCAAAAAGGCGTGTAATAAAATTTTTTTTTCTTCTATCAACTGCAATTTTCGTAATGTAATATTTCACTGAAAAAATAAAAAGTTTTTTAAGACGCCCTTTTTGCATTAAGAAAAAAATTCTCAAAGCAAAAAATTCGTATATAAAAAAATTATATTTTCATTTTCCATAACTTCCAAGTCAGAAATTTTAAACTTCTGGCGATAAGAATTAAAAATTAAAATTTATGTACATTACAAAAGTAAAATTAAAAAAAAAATCAATTTCTTAAAACATCCAAAGTGTGTATTTAACGCCTTAACAAAAACAAAACTTACCTCTGGATAATCGCCGTCCTTTGTTTGAAAATCAAAAACATAGAAGTAAGTTTTTGGCATAGGTTCTTTCTCACTGTCAGGAACTGGTGTAATGTGAGGATTGTTCGGTTGGCGAGTGTGACGAAGAGTGAAAAGATCCCCAGTTTGGACAAGTGGTGCTACGAATTGTGCATCACTCAACGCACGTACGCATCCGTCTCTGGTGTTCGATGGATGCTGCATTGTTCGCTCCCACTCGGTGTACTCATTCACAATCTAAGTAAACAAAAGCACAAAATGCTTTAATTCTTTTCAATCTAAATGAATGGAATGAATAATAAAAAACTAGAGAATTTTATTTGTTAGTTTCTCTTGTTTTGACTCATTCATTGATGTTTACACTTTACTTTTCGGGTTTTCCGCTTTAAAAAATATTTTGCTAAAGATGGATACCAAGGTCAGTGGCAGTTGTGGTACTAGAATTACTAGTGACCGTAGTGGAAGTTGCTGTTAGCTTGTTATAGTATTTTATAATGAACCACTTTATTGAGTATTACCAAGCAAAGTAGCTTATAACTTGTTCATACATATACATACCGATACAAAGGACATACTTAAAGTTTTCAAAAGCCAATACAAAGTTTAGTAAGCTTTGAACGCTGAGTTTCTGCGCAGTTAATTTAACAAAAAGTTTATTCTAACGAATTAAATTGATCGTCAAAATGGCTTTAAAGATCTTTCAATGTAAATGTCAGTGTTACCAAAGTAGAAAGAAAGTGTGTGGATAATATCTAGAAAAAAACAATTTTTTCTAATTAATAAATATATGATGTAATATTTTTTCATGCAAAATTAATACGTTTTTAAGAAATACATTCATTTTTTAGGATTAAGATTTTCAGGTACTAAAGTCACAAATTTTTTTTTTTTTTCAATAAAAGAATACAAATTTACCATAAAAATAAAATAAAAAAAAAGTGATCATGTAAATTATTCACCAGCATCAATTTAAATTATAAACGCGCTCAGTAATTTATAAATGGATAAGCTGTAAAAATACTGCGTTGTATTTTCTTATCACGAAATTGTAAAATGATCAGATTACATCGAATGCATATGCTATTATCTGACACTCCGGTGTCAAATATTGTTATAATTTTAGTTTTTTCTGAAATATTTATTTATTTATATTTTTGCTCATATTCATGTGGATTATTTAGTTGTCGGTCCCGGTATTTTATTTATTTATAGTCTTTATTTATATTTAAAATTTTATTTGTTTTGTTTATCCGATCCATTTGTTTTATCCATATCCAAATACACCGTTTAACGGATGTTCAGAGATAACAGTCATACGTAGATATATATTTGTTGTATCTAGTGTTCCTGCTAGTATCAGAGTATCTAAATGTTTGTGATATGTGATCGGGGGCATTCGTTTGTCGATATATTACTCTTTTTTTAGTGTCAAGCCATATTTGATTTACTAGACCGGACTTTTTTGGGATGAGTTACTTTACAGTGTTTGTAAGCGTAAATTTTTATTTTATGTCTTTCTCACCCCAACACATTTTTATTAAAAAAAAACAGGAGATTTTTCGCTTCTAACTCAACTTATCCATAATTTTTTCTCTTAATTAAATATTTTACCGATTTACAATTCACTAAATCTCACAGATAGTAAAAAAAACTCTTCCTCTTTTTGTTCCAGATGCTTTAAATTTCTGGACTGCGACTCTGGAGTATAAATTCCATTACATGCAGAATCAACCTGCTTTGGTAGTAAAACTCAAAGGTACTCCTACATCATTTTCATCTACTTTCGGTGAGTATTGATTCACAAATAATTCAATGCATAAAAAATCATGTGGAAAGTTAAAATGAAAGGAAAAAGTTTTAATGGCGGAAATTTTAATTATTAATTACTTTATTATGTCATTAGAGTTTAAAGCGCTTTTACTTTTTAATTAATTCATTCCATCAATTTTCTTTTTTATTAATTTATCCGTATCTTTTCTCTTTGAGAAAAATTTTCATTAAAAAGTCAGAGCAATTATTTTGAAATATTATAGCTTGGAAATTTCAAGCTTGATCTCGAACTAAATATTGAAGATATGAATAAGTTGTAAAAATACTTTTTTTCAGCAAATTTAATTTTCTACAAAAAAGTTCCTGTTAATTTTTTTGTATCTTTCACCGTTTTATCACAGTATCAATTCAAACTTAAACTGATATTTATCATGAATTTACGTAAATTTGAAAATGTTTGCATAAATTTTACTCATAGGAACTCAAATAGATAGAAAATTTCATTTTATATTTTCTTGTAAGACTCCTCAATATAAACCAACAAAAGTTTTCCTTCTGTAGTACAATTATTAACTTATATTTACCGTATAAAATATCTCAGTAAGATGATAAGTATATGCATTTCTGACATAGGTCCGTATTATTCTATCCCGTCTTTCTCCCTCGAAACCAGCTTGCACATCTTTTTCAGCAAACCTCCACAAAGCTTCGCTGGTTGTTACGCCAAACAATAGATCATACTTGTTGTTACTGGTGATTGGCATTCCAGGATCACTTCTCTTTGGAAGTTGTCTGTAAATTAAATAAATATACGTGGATACAGTATGAATAAGCGAGTGAGTGAGAGAGAAAGCAATAAAGTAAGCAAGGGAGTAAATAACTAAGCAACTAAAGTTTATCGTGTGAAACTTGTGCATTGAATTAATCACGTCCACGAGGACTGAAAAAGTGAGGACGTGCAAAAAGGCTAAATTAATTATTATGCATTAACAGATTGCTTGTTGGGCGATCCATCATTACGAATTTAATTATAAATTCATCAGCTTATACATTTCTTGTTAATATATTTAATAATATTGTGATTAATTACTCGAGCACTTGCAAAGAAAGAGTGATTGAAAAAGTGTGAAAAGCAATAGAAGAATCAGTGCATCTATAGATGGCTACTGACCCGGATCCTTGGAATTCTGGGCCGAGATAAGAGAGGAGATCCTTGTGGAAATCGGGTTTTATGACAACTCCGTCGACACTGGGGCCAAAAGCACTGAGAAAAGTCGGAGCTTGTACGTCCGCTGACATGAGATCTTCTAGCCGGGTTTCACGTAGACAATCCACAATCAGCTCGTGCTCTTTCAACAGATCCGATGGTACAGAGCAGTTTACTGCTTTAGCTAGTTTTACTGCGTACGTAACCGGATCTTCTACAACTGCCCAGGATGACAAAGCGCTGCCTGACAGTAAAATCGCTCTCTTAAAAAGACCTGGAATCAAAAAGATAAAACAGAAATCACATAAAATGGAATAAATATATATTTATATATTGATCCAAATTTGGATTTATTTTTATTAAAAGTGCATCTATTTTTATGGAGCTTGTAAGCTTCAATTGGTTTTTAATGCAATAATTATTAAGACTCTAAATTTTTGTTTTAACTTTAAAAATTGAATGAAATTTTAATAAGAAAAAAATTTTATATATCAGGCCATATCAGAAAATTTTTTCCATGATAATCAATTTTGATTGTTTTCATCTTGCCTTTTGTATACCAGCATATTGATTTTTTTAGAAACGTGCTACAAGTTTGAAATCTTAAATTAACCCTTATATTTTCAAAATTACAAAAACACAGTAGTCACAACTCTCTCCAAATTATTGAAGTCGTCATCAAACGTACTTCCGGTGTTATGTAAAGCATTTCTTGCTCTCATTCTGGGCACTTCTCCTTCAGCTTGGAAACAGCATTAAGTCCTTTCTAGTTCTCGACTACAAAAGACATCTGATTACACGTTAGATTAACTTTCGCTCGTCTTTCAGTGCTTCGTACCAACTACCAACTACGGGTTTGAAGATGCAAATTTCGAGTGACTCTGACACCAAGAGACTTTGAGTCTTGAGGAGTCTAAACTGAGAACCAGGAGAAAGATTGACTGAAGTTCGTGATATTACAACGAAACATGTGCGACAGATATCGCAGACTGGCACTGCCACTGAAAGCCCATCCAAGATCCAACTAAACTTCAACGTAGCACTACACTATCCTTCTATCTGCAGTGTATATACCTTTAGCTTATGTATCGGGCAGGATATATCTATAAGCAGACTACAAGTAAGCTACGGCAAGGTTTCGAGTCCGGGTCTGGGGATCTAGCTGGTTGGATTTTATCCAGGATCCAGGATCCAGGGTGAACGAGACTCTGGTAACACATTGCCGTAGATATTGGATGTCTCTCTTTATATCTTCATCCCTATTGCCTCATGTTACTCCGAAGGTAGAAGGTAGTAGGTACATCCACAATGTACAAGGCGTATCGACTCCCACCTGCACCGCCTCGCCTCGTATTCCACAGTGGGTTAACGGCCACATGGGACTAACCGCTTCGCGATTCTGTTACCTATAACTTGGATATGGAGATCCCGAGCACGACGATATTTCCGATATTATGTGCGTGAAATATCGCCCATATTACTCCGTTTTATATATAATAGGTGCATCAATATACTATCCAAGACCATTTTATTACCTATTTGTATTCCAAGTTCCTCAGGATACTGAATTATATTCCCGTTATACGGTATATCTTCTATCGCTGATGAGATCACTATTCACGGTATTGGTGTCAGTATTTTACAGTTTATTTATTGAGCTATTAAAAATTGTTAAGAGAAAATTTTATAGGAAAAGCTCAACATCTAGTTAATGACGAAAAGTTTTAAGCTATCTGAGGGTAATAAATCCTACACTAAAAAAAAATTAATTTGATTTGAGGTGAAAAATTATTGAATCAAGTAAAATTTAATTGAACCAAGAAACATTTCTCAGATCAAGAATATTTCTACTTCTAACAAAGCGATTAAGTTCTATAAAATGATTTCCTTCGTTCAGGAAAAATAAAATATTGATTAATTTTTATGTGACACAAAATGGTCAATTTCACTAAAAACAAAAATAAAATTAAACATTCAAAGTTTTGGAAAATTATTTGACATCTCTATAATCGTAATCAAAATTCAATTGAAATTAAAAAATATCAAATTAGTCAATCAACGATATAATTATAACTTTCAATTTACCTAAAAAAAAATTATAAAAGAGACGGTTTGTAATGAATTATTATGATTTCGTCAACTTACGTAATATCGACAGAATATTATCAACTTGCGGAATTAACTGAGAAACTATGCATTTTGTGAAAATAATTTAAAGATAATATTATTGAATAATAATTAATATAAAAATTTGTTAATTGAATCGGATTGATTTTGTTTTATCTAAAACGTCCATTAACTTACACGGCTTACTACAATTATTGAACAATTTGTTTTCAAGTATATACTTTATTTTTAAAGTAACAAATACAACTTATCAAAATGGTTATATTAATAACTCTTCAACCCTCATTAAAACTAAATTAAATGTATAACTCGTTACTTCAAGTAATACGAAGACCATAATTCCCTTTAAATTACCCCGCGGGTAATTTATTCAAATCCTTAAACCGTCAATTCTTTTTAGATATACTAGGTCAGTAGACCGTAACGTTTGAATTTATTTCCTCTATCAAAAATCACTTTTGTCGTTAAGCTCATGCTTAACTGAAGTACTCTCCTCCTTCAGCTCGTGAATCCCCTTGAAAAATAAAAATAAAAATAAATTGAGAAAATAAACATCCACTAAAATAGTGGCACGTATTTTCCCCAATGATTTTCCTTCTTTAAATTCCTAGCGACATGTCTTCGAAACAACGTCATCGAGAGATAATGCTATTTGATAAACTTTTTAAAAAGAGTTGAGCGCAACCATTCGAGATGTTGTTACAACTGCTGCTGTTCCCGCTTTCGCCTCGTCTTATAGTTATTCCCTCGAATTGACGATCCCGCTTTCAAGTGACTTATTTAATCCACGTACTTGACGAATCCGCAGTACCACAAGAATTTATATAACCAGAAAGTGCATTTAAATTATTTCATAACCTTTATACTCTATATCTCCAGCTACTTCGCTACTTCTACTTCATTTTACATCCATCTTTCAATTTAAATAGTTCCGATTTTAATTAAGATTATACGTATCTACTTATTCATTCAGTTGACTCCCCTATTCATTGATAAAAAATTGTTCATTTTTTTTTCCAAGTAGATTCAATTTATTTTTTTTCTATATCAACATCATTAATTTTTTTCATACACAAATCTATTGTGGAAGTTAGCGCAAAAAAATTATTTTTTTCTCAAATAAAACTTTCATCTCTAAAAATTTAATCGAAATTATAAAAATTCTCCAAATTCCTTAATATTTTTGATTTCAGTAGCAAAAAAAATTAAAAATTTTCAATTTTTAAGGCAGACAATTAAAAATTAAAATAAATTTTTTTTCCGTAAATTTTATTATTTCTAAAATTTTGTAGCGAAAAAAATTTTAAGTTTATACTTTAATTTCACTCGGTAAACACGGAAATTTCCGTGAAGTTATGTTTATCTTAATTGATATTAACTTATAAAAAGAAATTCCTCATTATTGTAAAGTTCAAACTACAACAGCAATATATAATACAAAATTTAAACCAGTGTTGCTTAACTATATTAGCTTTCCTCTTTATATTACTAACATAAATAAAAGTTCCCCTCGTAGTGAAATTAACTCTGAAAGAAGTGAATGTAATATATAATAAAACCATCCACTTCGTATTCACTCCGTATTTACTTTGCGTGAACTTCATGAGTTCTTTACAGAGTACACTCGTTAATACTCAAAAAATAGAGAAAAAAAGTATAATAATTATAATTATGTGGAAAAAAAAATTTTTCAAGAAGTAGTATGTACGAAAAAGCGCCTTAATTATTTCTACATAATAAGAACCGAGAAAAAGGAATAAAATAAAGGAGATAAGAATTTAAAGAAAGAACAAATTCTTGAACTCTGTTATTTTTACGTCTCTGTTAATTATGTACGCGCTACAATGAGGAAATGTATATATATCTTTAAGATCTCAGCAAGGCATCAGAGTGTAGATGTAGATATATAGACACCAGGCAAGGGAGAAAGTCCAGTGGGAGAGTGGGAAAACTCATCGTAGCAAGCTTTTGGTAGCATTCTGGCCACTCTTGTAAACCCAAAGGACTTGAGACTACATAGAAGGAGGTTGTCTTGTGGTTACTCCAGCGGCTTCTAATTAGGATGAATTCCGGTTTATGGCGTGGTCTCAAGTCCCGGAAATTGTTCCTTGAATTTTGTAGAGATTTCCGGCTAGTTTAAAAAATTTTAAACTTTCATGACTTCAACAGAACACATGCCACTGCTTGTCTTCGGATAGACCCTAATTAAAATCATCAATTGAAAAAATATTTTCTAAGTTAAAAATTATGTACATTCTGAAAATTAAAAATTATAATTTTGAGTACTAAAAGTTCCTCAAGATTTTTTAAACTCTTAAAGATGGTGGATTAATATTTTTTAATTGGTAATAGAGTAATAATAATTTTTTGTCTGACTTTTATTCATGACTCAAAATCGAAAATATTTTGAGTAAACCCTTAAAATTTTTTCGTTGCGGTTTTTTTTTCAGAAGGCTCTTAAAATATTATCAAATAAAATTTTCAATAAATACAAAAAGTTATATGTTAACGTTAAAGATAGAGAATTAGTACACGGAGAGAAAAATATGGAAATCATTCCTATAATTTTAATGAAATATTTTCTTATACCATTTTAGGAGCGATTACTTAAATTATGGGAATTATACCCATAATTTTTGGGAAACGTTACTATAATTATGGGAATGGTTCCTATAATTATAGGAACGATACCTATAATTATAACTGTAATATCGGCATGATTCCCATAATATATAGGAATGGTTCCCATAATATATAGGAATAGTTTCCATAATATTAAAGGAATAGTTTCCATAATATTATAGAAACCATTCCTATAATATTATGGGAACCATTCCCATAATATTAAAGTAATTTTTTTTTCACACAACTGTGGTTATATGCTTGTAAATTAAAATAAAATTAATTAAAAAAAAAAGAAAAGTTAATTAAAAAAAAAATTTCTTAAATAAAATAAAATTTCCAATTGTTTTGAAATTTCAAATTTTCAAATGTTTTCGCGGCTCAACGTATATATTTTAAATAAATAATTTGCTTTAAAAATAAAATAAAATTGTGAATATAAACAATGAATTTCCATATCTATTTTGCTTCTACAATTGTATAGTGAGAAAATATCCTTTTTATTGGAGAAATTTTGAAATTGCTACAATATTTTTCAATATTATTTCACACAATAATAACTGAGCTGGAATAAATAATTCAAGATTAAGAACATACGTGAATAAAAATTATGAAAAAGAAATTTTGAAAAAAAATTTTATTAGCAAAAAAATACATAATAATTACTTTATATTTTTGAAGTGATTGCTTCATTATTAAGAGGATAAACTTTTTTCTATTATTATGTGCGTCATTCCCATAATATTATAGGGACCATTCCTATAATATTATAGGAACCATTCCTATAATATTATAGGAATCATTCCTGTAATATTATAGGAATCATTCCTATAATATTATAGGAACCATTCCTATAATATTATAGGAATCATTCCTGTAATATTATAGGAATCATTCCTATAATATTATAGGAACCATTCCTATAATATTATAGGAATCATTCCTGTAATATTATAGGAATCATTCCTATAATATTATAGGAACCATTCCTATAATATTATAGGAATCATTCCTGTAATATTATAGGAATCATTCCTATAATATTATAGGAACCATTCCTATAATATTATAGGAATCATTCCTGTAATATTATAGGAATCATTCCTATAATATTATAGGAACCATTCCTATAATATTATAGGAATCATTCCTGTAATATTATAGGAATCATTCCTATAATATTATAGGAACCATTCCTATAATATTATAGGAATCATTCCTGTAATATTATAGGAATCATTCCTATAATATTATAGGAACCATTATTCCCATAATATATTGAAGCTATTCCATTATTGTATAGGAACGTTTCCAATAAATTATGGGTATGGTTCCCATAATGAGTATAGGATTAATGCCTATAATGATAATTTTATTATAGGATCCATTCCCATAATTGTTGGAAAGATTTCTATAAATTTCTCTCCGTGTACAAAGTATTTAACATCCGGAACGGTATGAAGAGGACAAAAGAATCTATATTGTAACATAGAGTAGTGTAGAGAAGGGCAGGACAGGCAGTAAGCGGCAGAAATGTGGATGAAGATCGCTGGGTACCGATTTTGGCCGGCGTCCAAATTCGCTCATGTCCAAGCTCACTCGGTCTGCTGATAAGGCAGAGCAGAGCTCGTACCAATCGCTGAGCGTATGCGTGATCACGTCACCGTTTTGCAGAAAAAAATATTTTATTGAAAGGAGACCGACCCTCTTTTTTCCGTTTAAATGCACACGGTGTTATCAAATATTTGGGGGTATTAAATAACTATTTGTCCTCCCGCGAGATGTGACACGTTAATAATCTTTTCCATCACAAAATAAAAATAGAAGCGGGAAAAAAACAGAAGCGGCTATACACTGGTGAAAAACAATACGGAATAAATAAAATCTGGGATACAGAACGGAATAATGGTTTAAATATGGTAAAAATAAAATGCGTGGGTTAATTTTAAAAACCGTGATGTCGTAATCCGCCTGGCTGGCAACTGTCCAGGACACGCGTGTTCATATTGGGCATCAAGGAAAGTATTTTCCGATAGTGTTGGTTGAGCCTGGAAGCTCCAGCCTGGAGAACCGAGATCAAGTTTCAACCAAGAGGCACGTACTCTTGATTTACGTTACTGTATGTCGATATTTTTTTAATCTATTCTATGGGTTATTTTCTTTGTTTTTTTTTTTACTGATAAATTTTTATTTTATTGATCATAAAATATCAATATTAATTAATTTTTGTGTTACGACTTAATTTTTTTAGTACCGTATCGTAAAAAGTGAAACATGAAAAATTATTATTGTTATTATTCCTGTGAAAAAATTTTCTAATATGGCCAGTTTAGGTATTTTTTCTGAAACGGCTTTTTTTTTATCTCGCTAACACTGTGAAATATTGTTTTAAACATCGGAAAAAAACTCTCCAAACACTTGGACCCTTTCGAATATATAAGTACTTGAATATTTTAAAATCAAGAAAAATTGTGTCGACGTAATAATGTTTTAAAAGTATAATACTGACGAAAAAAATTTTTTTTTTTCAAAATTTGAATTTTTTTATACTATCAAAAAAGATTTTTTTTTTTTAATTTAACTTTTTGTGTCAGAATTATAATTTTTTATCATATTTATGTCAATTCTTAAAAAAATTTTTTTTTATACTGTGCCCTTATGCACAGAAAAAAAATTTTACGAGAATTTATGATTGTCACATCGTAATGCAGGGCCGCAGACTTTCAGTATTTTGACTTCAATAATTTTACATTAGAAAATTTATTACTTATAAACGAATTTTTACGATGTTACATATAAGATATTGAAATTCTAGTCCTAGAATACGACGTGACAGTCGTAATTTTTTTTAGAATTTTTTTCCGAGTGGCATCTGTAACGCAATTTCTATAAGAAATAAAAAATTTTAATAAATTATTTTTTTATGGTCGTACATAGCTAGATATGGACATAGAAAATTGTGTCACTGGACATGATCATTATTAATTTGTCAAACTAAAGGTATCGTAACTTACCAGACATGACAGTTGGACTAATAGCGAGAAAATTAACACAGGCAGCTCCAGTGCCATGTCCCATGAGCGTAACATTTCCCCGATCGCCGCCAAAAAGGGCAATGTTCTCCTTCACCCAGTGAAGAGCAGCCAGCTGATCCATGAGCCCGTAATTCGCGACCTCCGCTTTCGTATGAGGCGAAATGTTGGAGTTGAGAAAGCCGAGAACTCCGAGCCGGTAGTTGATCGTTACGACTACTTGGTCAGTGTAGCTCGCGAGGACGCTCCCGTCGTATGGATTTCCGCTTCCCCAGTCGTAGCTCTCCCCATGGATGTACAAAAGTACCGGATGCCTCTTCCCGCTGTCTGACATTCCTGAAACAAGAACAAAACCAAAATACTTAACTTCGCTGTCGGGGGCTTAAGTTACTTCTGATTCGTCTACGCTTTTTCACCCTTTCCCTTTTCCTTGTACTTATACAACTCGAAGTTTTTTACGCGTCTGAGATATCGCCTAGATACTATCGACGTCCTTCCACTTGTCGTTAACTTCAAGTTTACTCAAAAAGGCACAAAACGACTCCATGAATAGACAAAATACATGTCACTAAAAATTTTGTTAAAATATTTATTTAACCCGTGTTGATCGTCGCTGATGGATTTTACGAGTTTTCAGCTTTTTTATTAGCCTTAAGAACTAAAAATGTTTTTTATTCGCTCACTCCTGTTAAATATTTATGATTTAATGAAATGTTTTATTTTTGATAGTGTCCCATAGAAAATATAAGCCCTACACAACAGAAAAACATTTATGAACAACAAAAAGTTTTTCCTTTTCTTAAATTGTGGAAAATATAATAACGTTTAAATATATTTTTTAATATTTTAAAGCTTTTAGGAAAAAAATATATTTTTATGTAAATTTATATTTTTATTCATGTAAATTCAACAGTTTTTCCATGAAGGGGTTACATGGGTTTCCGACGAGAAAAAATGGCCTATTTTCAACAATTTTTTTTTAATAGAAAAAATGAAATATTTTATCCAAACTTTTTACTGTCTTAAAGATATATGTTTAATAAGGGATTACTGAAATTAAAAAAAAAAAATGAAAATTGGATTTTTGACTAAGGTTTTTACAAAAAGATTAAAAATTTCGCGGCATTTTTTTTTAAATAGTTGTAATTGAAAAAAAAATCCTTCGTTCAAGACCTTGTAAATTATATCTCGAAGACCTGTTTAAAATTTCATTAAGATCGATTGAGTAGTTCTCGAGAAATCTTGGGTACCGTCTTTGAAAACATAGTTTTGAAAAAAACGTGTTTAAAGTTTTGAGTGACAATACAACAGCGCCTTGAACGCGCAACTTTTTAAAACTGTAGTTCTGAAACTATTATTCGGATTGATTTGAAACTTTAGGATAATATTCTAGAGATGTAGAATTTAATAAGACAGTAAACCGATATTAATATTGAGTATTGTGATGATCCAAATTTTCATATTAGTGCCTACTACACGAATGCGTTATTCTATAGTAGATAAACCAGCATTAAAATAGAATATCTGTACATGCTTTATACTTTTTTTTCAGTAATCAAATTTACTGAAAAAGTTTAATTGATTTCTTACTCTTTATTTTGAATCAATAAGTCATTAACCAAGATTTAACTTTATTTTAAATAATAAAAGTACGCCTGAGTAAAGAATATCCTATTTATTATTTATCGTCATCAATAAATTAGACGCATTAAGCAAAGAGGACGTGTACTGCACATGCAGACATAATAAGGATCAGTGTCTTTTCACCCGGCGAGGATCGATATTCGCGGCTGACAAAAGATGAGTGTAGTGGTTAGGTGTGGTATGGTATGGTAGTTGGTTGGTTCTCAAACTAACGGCTTTTGATATCGTCCCACCCTTGTACACTTCTATTCTATATCCCATCCCTTGTCTTTTCCCTTTTCACTCGCAGAAGCTATAGAGAGCGACGCTCAGTTGCATTGGTGTCGCTGGATATATAAAGTGAGCGAGGAACGAGTTGAGTTCCAGGAGAACGAGTGCTATTGGTAGTGGTTTAGTACTACTACACAGTGGTGTAGTCAAGTAAAGAGACAACCCGGCACTACACGGAGAAAAGAGAAAAGGCTGGCAACAGCCGCACTGGCATCCGGTACAGTGCCAACCACCCGGTAGAGACCCTCATCGAAACAAAGCGCCTTGTGTTGACCGTGTGTCTAGCCCTATTGAAATACCACCGTCGCCTCGGGAAAATCAAAAGTAGTTTTCGTTTGTCAAAGACTCTGCTATCAATGTATATAATCCTTATCTTCCCTGTCTTTCTTCCATGAACATTTCAATTATGTAATTTTTGTAGTACTTATAGTAATAATATTATTAATAATTAGCAACCTGAAGTCACTTTGTGACTGTCAAGAATTATTAATTATAAATAAACAAATTTTTACTTAATAATTTTTTTATATTTTTAATCACAGTATACATAGTTTGGATACTTTTAAAGTAAATTATAAAAATGATGTCGCTATGACAAATTAATTACTAATTATTTAATGGAAAATTTCAAGAAAAAAATTTATAGAATCAATTTAGTATTCAAAACTTCTCCAAAAAATTAACAAAAAAAATTGACCATCCTGAAAAAATATATAAAATCATGAAAAGGCACAAATTTATGTCAAGACTTTTCTGATGATACTGACTTCAACTATTAGAATGACTTTTAAAATAAAAATATGCCCATCATGAAATTTTCCTAATTCTCTTAATTATTTAGATGATAAATTGATTATCGCCAAAAGACATAAATTCAGGTTACAACTTGTCGGATGTTACCAAATTCAATTAAAGAAAACCAATTTTTAAGTAAAGATGTGTCCGTCATTAAATTTTCTTCACTCTTTTAATTTTATGAATTAATATTTGAAATAGAACCACATTAATATGTACATAATAAAATTGAAATTCTAATCTATTCATAACTACTTGGAAGGCTTATCATATTAAATTAACAATTACTAAAAATGATATGAAACCTTCAAAAAGCACAAATTCTAATGAAGACTTTTTAAATTATACAAAATTTAACTAAAACACAGATTTTATCATATAAATACACTGAAGACCAAAGTTTTCTTAATCCTGTGATTCATGAAATAATAACCATAATTATCAGAAAAAAAAAAATAACGAATGTATGCTAATTCCGAGTTTTAACAATTTAAGCATATTCTTTTGATTTGTATTAATTGGTAATATCAATTGTAATTGCCATTGACTTTAGAAATTTACTAACAAAGTTCAACTCGAAGTTTGATTAAGTAAAACTTATAATATTGTAACAGAATAAATTTCCTGATAGACAAAAAGTTCGAACTTTACTTCAAAAGTTTACAAGTTCAAATTATAGAAGGTCAGTTTAAAAAGTTTTGTCGATGTAGGACCATTCATTTTTTTCCAGAAATTAGGATATGAAAATTTTTTTTTCTCCTGGCAAAACTTTCTATTGCATAAAATCAATATCATCAAAACTAAAAAAAATATATCTTGTAGAAATTAAACTCTAGGTGTCAAAACTGCCTTAAATTTTTTTTTCAATGCTAAATGATTAAAATATCAATAGTTCACGACAAAAAGACCATTTGTAATAAAAAAAAATTAACTGTCCGTGAAAAATTGGCGTAGAAAAGAGGAATTGAAGTCCCGCGTATCAAAATTTTGATAATTTAATAGATAATTCAGTAGTCAAACAACATTAGCACCTAAATAATTAATAGAATAATGCAGAACAGGGAATAATCTTTTGATAAGCCAAATTAATGAGGTAATTATGAATCAACTAATTAGCAACTCTTATCAATGACTCAGCACTGACCATTGCATAAATTCACCGAGTTATGAAATGAATTAACGGTTGTCAGTTTAAAACAAACTCGATATATTATAAATTACGAATTGAACCCGCAGCAAATCCAGCTTTGTTTTAAAATCTATATGTATATATATATACACATAAACATCCCCACCCCATAAATAATACACACTTCATAAATAATATATTCGCGCACATGCATTATAAATTCAGTAACATCGGTTATCAGGAACATAATCAACCAGACATACGTCACTTAATTTTAGTACAAATGTTTAACATTTATAGTGGAAGAATAGATAGGAGATGCATTGATCGATCGGACCATCCATCACCAGATTTCATAACCTCAGTTCACAATCAACGAGCCGCTTCATTGCGATGTTATCTTTTTTACTTTTTTGTTATTATCTTTACACTTTTTCCTATTTTGTTTTATTTTTATTTTATTTCCCTCGTCTCGCGTTTACACTTTTTTCCCTATTTCAAACGCTGTCATTTATCAAGCTCACATTTCTCCACTGTCACTATTGTTTTATTATCACATTCAAGAGCTCCTGGTGTACGCTACACGCTTTGCCTCTACTCTTGTCTCTGAGTGATGCGTTCCCTCTAATTGATGTTATCTCAGTTTTCATTCTACTTATTTATCATCAAATCATTGTCGACACTGACTGAACCAATCAACTCCCCTTTATTATTACGTCTTTAATGCCTGTGTTTTTTTTCTTACTAACAGATGAATAGCTTTATTATCTGATAATAAATTTCTATCTAGTCAAATATTTATTTATTGGATCAAGTGAGAGCCAATAAAGTCCAATGTTATTTATAGAGCCCTAATGGAACTAATAGAATGAGGTATTTTCGGGAAAAAATACTAATTAAGGGATATTTGTGATGAAATTGAAAATATTCAAACACAATTATTCAAGTAGGGTAGAGGGGGCAAGTTGTGCAATCGAAATATCTCAAAAACTAAACAACTTACAACAAAAGTGTAAATGGTTAAAAGAAAGGGTTACAAAAAGAGAACAAAAAAAAAACAGGTCTTTCGAATTTTTCTCCTACACTCGCTTAAAAATGCTATTTCGTGATCACGAAAGTATTAAAAGATGACTTAATGTTTGCCCTTTCGATTATATATTATTGTTTATTTTTAATTCTTATCATTCTTTTATAACCTAACTTTTATTTTGTTGCCTCAATTGGGGCTAGTTGAGCAAGGCGCTGATTGCGTGTTAAACCAGCCCTACTAGATTTTCAATACTGAAAAATGAAATTTTTCTTCACTAAATTAATAATTATCAATTGATTTGTACATGTGATGATTTAAAATAATGTGTAAAAATTAAAATAACTCATATTGATATTATGTTAATAATTATTATTACAATCATAATTATGCGTATGTAGAATTATAATAAACAAATATTTGCTTGTTAATTACAATTTTATTTTGTTTTCATATCATTATATACAGTCA